CCCCAAAACCCCAAAACCCCAAAACCCCAAGCTAGTTCTTAAAGACTGAAGTTTAAAGTTATTTATAATCTTAAAGAAAATGAAGGCTGGCCAAGCAAGAACCACACCTAGAAGTATCATTAGAAAGAAAGCAACTGAGCTAAGAAAGAAGGGGCTCCAAGCTCAAGTAAGTTGAATTATTCCTATCTGCTGGTATTCCAGCTCAAGAAAGTCTGTAGTAACTAGAACATTGATTCAAAACATACAGAAATTTTTGAGGAATTTAGAAAATGGGAAACCAAGCCTCACCCAAAGATACTCTAACACCTCAACTAAAGTTATATTCAACATTTTGTGTTATTTCTTATTTTTCTATCGGCTTATTTGTGGTTTTAGGCGAGGGATAAGAATCCAAGGAACCAAAACTTGCACTCAGATATAAAAACTTTAGAATAACATTATTGCTGAAATCGATCGAATTGATAAATCTACAGAAAATTTAATCCAAAAATTCATTAAACTTGGCTCATCTCCTCACCCAAAGGTCTTGTCAATGAAGAAATTGAGAGGAGACACTAATTATGAAGAAGAAAAAAGTTTTAAGAGTGTTTAAAATCTCAAATAAAAAACTTGAAATTAGTCTCTCTTCCTTAGAAAGCGGACGATCTGGGGGAATATCAACAAGAAAGACACAAGCACCTAATGATATTGGAATCTGAAGAGTTAGGCTAAAGAGAAGAAGAAAAGATCTCGTCTATAAATCAGCACTCAGAAAATTAAGAAGGTTCTATAAAAGTATTTTTAAGGACCAGAATTTAGATGTCGTACGAAGAAGGTACATTAACTGCAGTGTTGGATATCTATATGAAAGCATGCTTCTTACCCTCCAGAGTATGATCTCAGAGGAATACCTTACAGATGACTTAGTATATTTCACAATAGGAATAATTGGATTAAGAAAGGCATCTGAACTCCCCTGCACTCTCCACATACGTCAAGAGATTTCTGAAATAGTCAATTGAGCGAGCACGTTTTCTGTGGTAAAATTTCAGAGGTGACTTAGCTCTGAGAGCTTCCAAACATTACTCCAGAATGTTGCAGAGACTTCTAACTCACCTTGGGCTAGGGACTTACTCGATGAAATGAATCTCGACTAAAAGTATAAAACCATCAGATAAACTTTACACCGGATGATGAACTTTAATTTAAGTTTTCCAATCATGTCTGATGATACATTTAGCTTCATTTTCCTCAGCTATTATAGCTCTGGTTGACAATAACTTTGGACTGGGTTAGTTACAATAATTCAGCAGCACCAATCTTTCCGAGATAATTACATTTTAAGTCATTTTGGAATTTAGATTAAACGCAACTTATGAAAGCTGATTATTTGGGATTTGATATCAATGAATCAAGCCTATGTTTCATAATTTTATGTATTTTTTATTTTAGTCATGTTTGAATAAAGAGGGTTTAAAATAAGTTGTTTCTTCATAGAAGAGGGTTAGAATTGTAGATTTCATAAAGATAAAGAAGCTTGAATTTGATATTATTTAAAATTTATCAAAGAATTTGAGCTTCAGATGATTCAGGATTATGGATTAATACTAAATTTTTAACATACAAAACAGTTGAAAGAGTACCATTTTGACAAAATTTAACTCAAAAAAATATAACCCACTACCAAATGTATCACAGCCTTATCCCCAATTCGTACAACTAACACATCTTTCCACTTCCAATCACAACCCATCATCCACCCTACACTTTCAAAACAGTCCGAAACCACTTTCCTTAGCCCCTAAAATCCCTCAAATCTAGACTCTACCCCTCTCCCATCCCTCTCCTTCTCCCCTTCCACTACCCAAACCCCACACATCCCTTCCCAAAACCCTTATTTTCCTCTTCTCACTTAAAATCCCAAATTTTCCAGTCCTTAAGACTAAACCCAGGTTTTAGGGACTCTATCGTAGTACAAACTCAGGTAATTTAGTTGTTTGAGTGGAGTGGTTACAAATGAACTCGCCTTCAACCGCCACCTCTACAATAAAGTTCTTAAACCCTCTAGTCTGTACTACAGATTCAAGGCGTAGCTGGAGAGGCCAGAATGGGGGCTAAAGGGACTGAAGTTTAGGGGAAGGAGAATTGTGGGGGGTTAGGGGTGAAGAGGAGGGAGGTGTAAGGGAGTTTTGGGGGGTTAGATGTCGGAAAATTGGGTTTGAAGGGATTTTTGGGGGAATTGGATGGAGAGAAAGGATTTTAGGGGTTAGGAAGTGTGATTTAGGGTTTATATGGGTGTTTGTTATAGGAGGAGAGTATTTTTATATGAGATAAAGTGTAATATGAGAATATATGATTTTATCAAAATAATTATAGTTTAGAACTTATTGGAGATGCACAGGAGTGTTCAGATGATGAATTATACATAAATGCATTAATTTACCTCCCTTAATTGATTGAAATATTACAAACCGATAACACCTCCTCATATTTTATTCTCAAGTGCAATTTTCAATGAAAAAATACCATCATGGGGTTTTGGGGTTTTGGGGTTTTGGGGTTTTGGGGTTTTGGGGTTTTGGGGTTTTGGGG